GGGCCCTCTACTGCACTATCATCTACTCTGAGGACCCTCTACTGCACCATCATCTACTCTGAGGGCCCTCTACTGCACTATCATCTACTCTGAGGGGCCTCTACTGCACTATCATCTACTCTGAGGGCCCTCTACTGCACCATCATCTACTCTGAGGGCCCTCTACTGCACTATCATCTACTCTGAGGGCCCTCTACTGCACTATCATCTACTCTGAGGGCCCTCTACTGCACTATCATCTACTCTGAGGACCTTCTTCTGCACCATCATCTACTCTGAGGGCCCTCTACTGCACTATCATCTACTCTGAGGACCCTCTACTGCACTATCATCTACTCTGAGGGGCCTCTACTGCATCATCATCTACTCTGAGGACCCTCTACTGCACTATCATCTACTCTGAGGGCCCTCTACTGCACTATCATCTACTCTGAGGGGCCTCTACAGCACTATCATCTACTCTGAGGACCCATAAACCTGGCCAGCAGGACCAGTGGTGGTGACACTACCAGTGTTGTACACCAGGGGTGGGGACACTACCAGTGTTGTACACCAGGGGTGGGGACACCACCAGTGTTGTACACCAGGGGTGGGGACACCACCAGTGTTGTACACCAGGGGTGGGGACACTACCAGTGTTGTACACCAGGGGTGGGGACACTACCAGTGTTGTACACCAGGTGTGGGGACACTACCAGTGTTGTACACCAGGGTGGGGACACTACCAGTGTTGTACACCAGGGGTGGGGACACTACCAGTGTTGTACACCAGGGGTGGGGACACTACCAGTGTTGTACACCAGGGGTGGGGACACTACCAGTGTTGTACACCAGGGGTGGGGACACTACCAGTGTTGTACACCAGGGGTGGGGACACTACCAGTGTTGTACACCAGGGGTGGGGACACCACCAGTGTTGTACACCAGGGGTGGGGACACTACCAGTGTTGTACACCAGGGGTGGTGACACTACCAGTGTTGTACACCAGGTGTGGAGACACCACCAGTGTTGCGTGTCCTACCGGTTGTGTTCCTCCAACACCTTCACAGATGTTAATGTGTCGTGTTCCTGGCAGGTGTTTTCTTGCCAATGTTATTGTTGGTGCCACTGATTGATGACTAGCAGGGTTGGGTGCCACACCCTGCTAGGGTGCCCAGGGTGCCACACCCTGCCAGGGTGCCCAGGGTGCCACACTCTGTTTAGAGGTCGATATTTTGTAAAGTCTGGCACTGGAGCTGATTTTAACCAGCTTATGTCCGTCCTGTACCCCACACCACTCACCCTGCAAAGTTGGGGAAGGTTTGCTCGAAGTGCTGAGAGAGAACTATCAACATCAGAGGCCCGAGACTGTTCAACACGCTTCCACTACACATAAGGGACATAACTGGCCGACCCCTCACAGTGTTCAAGAGAGAACTATCAACATCAGAGGCCCGAGAACTGTTCAACACCGCTTCCACTACACATAAGGTCATAACTGGCCGACCCTCACAGTGTTCAAGAGAGAACTATCAACATCAGAGGCCCGAGACTGTTCAACACGCTTCCACTACACATAAGGGACATAACTGGCCGACCCCTCACAGTGTTCAAGAGAGAACTATCAACATCAGAGGGCCCGAGACTGTTCGACTCAACACGCTTTCCACTACACATAAGGGACATAACTGGCCGACCCCTCACAGTGTTCAAGAGAGAACTATCACACATCAGAGGCCCGAGACTGTTTCAACACGCTTCCACTACACATAAGGGACATAACTGGCCGACCCCTCACAGTGTTCAAGAGAGACTATCAACATCAGAGGCCCCAGACTGTTCAACACGCTTCCACTACACATAAGGGACATAACTGGCCGACCCCTCACAGTGTTCAAGAGAGAACTTTCAACATCAGAGACCCGAGACTGTTCAACACGCTTCCACTACACATAAGGGACTAACTGGCCGACCCCTCACAGTGTTCAAGAGAGAACTATCAACATCAGAGGCCCGAGACTGTTCAACACGCTTCCACTACACATAAGGGACATAACTGGCCGACCCCTCACAGTGTTCAAGAGAGAACTTTCAACATCAGAGACCCGAGACTGTTCAACACGCTTCCACTACACATAAGGGACATAACTGGCCGACCCCTCACAGTGTTCAAGAGAGAACTATCAACATCAGAGGCCCGAGACTGTTCAACACGCTTCCACTACACATAAGGGACATAACTGGCCGACCCCTCACAGTGTTCAAGAGAGAACTATCAACATCAGAGGCCCGAGACTGTTCAACACGCTTCCACTACACATAAGGGACATAACTGGCCGACCCCTCACAGTGTTCAAGAGAGAACTATCAACATCAGAGGCCCGAGACTGTTCAACACGCTTCCACTACACATAAGGGACATAACTGGCCGACCCCTCACAGTGTTCAAGAGAGAACTATCAACATCAGAGGCCCGAGACTGTTCAACACGCTTCCACTACACATAAGGGACATAACTGGCCGACCCCTCACAGTGTTCAAGAGAGAACTATCAACATCAGAGGCCCGAGACTGTTCAACACGCTTCCACTACACATAAGGGGCATAACTGGCCGACCCCTCACAGTGTTCAAGAGAGAACTATCAACATCAGAGGCCCGAGACTGTTCAACACGCTTCCACTACACATAAGGGACATAACTGGCCGACCCCTCACAGTGTTCAAGAGAGAACTATCAACATCAGTGGCCCGACTGTTCAACACGCTTCCACTACACATAAGGGACATAACTGGCCGACCCCTCACAGTGTTCAAGAGAGAACTATCAACATCAGAGGCCGAGACTGTTCACCACGCTTCCACTACACATAAGGGGACAGACATACCTGGCCGACCCCTCACAGTATTCAAGAGAGAACTATCAACATCAGAGACCCGAGACTGTTCAACACGCTTCCACTACACATAAGGGACATAACTGGCCGACCCCCACAGTGTTCAAGAGAGAACTATCAACATCAGAGGCCCGAGACTGTTCAACACGCTTCCACTACACATAAGGGACATAACTGGCCGACCCCTCACAGTGTTCAAGAGAGAAACTATCAACATCAGAGACCCGAGACTGTTCAACACGCTTCCACTACACATAAGGGACATAACTGGCCGACCCCTCACAGTGTTCAAGAGGAACTATCAACATCAGAGGCCCGAGACTGTTCAACACGCTTCCACTACACATAAGGGACATAACTGGCCGACCCCTCACAGTGTTCAAGAGAGAACTATCAACATCAGAGGCCCGAGACTGTTCAACACGCTTCCACTACACATAAGGGACATAACTGGCCGACCCCTCACAGTGTTCAAGAGAGAACTATCAACATCAGAGGCCCGAGACTGTTCAACACGCTTCCACTACACATAAGGGACATAACTGGCCGACCCCTCACAGTGTTCAAGAGAGAACTGGATAAACACCTCCATAGAATACCTGACCAACCAGGCTGTGATTTACACTTTAGACTGCGAGCAGCTGCGTCCAACAGCCTGCTCGGAGACCGGGCCCCGGGGCCATTGATCCCTGGAAGGTACACAAGGTAGGTATGGTAGCGACTATTGCCTCCAATATTAAATAAACAGCTAAGCTGACTTTGTCTCTAATAACCCACGATAGATTGTAATACTGGACGGTAGAGCGACGGTCTCGCTTCATGCAGGTCGGCGTTCAATCCCCCGAGACCGTCCACAAGTGGTTGGGCACCATTCCTTTCCCCCGTCCCATCCCAAAGCCTTATCCTGACCCCTTCCCAAGTGCTATATAGTCATAATGGCTTGGCACTTTCCCCTTGATGATGGCTTGGCACTTTCCCCTTGATGATGGCTTGGCACTTTCCCCTTGATGATGGCTTGGCACTTTCCCCTTGATGATGGCTTGGCACTTTCCCCTTGATGATGGCTTGGCACTTTCCCCTTGATGATGGCTTGGCACTTTCCTCCCCCAGCTGTCAACACAGAGAGTACACACACACACTCCCAAGTGCTTTGAGACACACTCAGCCGCTGGAGTGTCTTACCGAGTGCGTGTGCGGGTTCACTGAGTGCCTTCCGTGTTGTCGATTGACTGACTGACAGAGATCCAGCCCCGCAGGAAGTGGCACGGGCATGAATAACCCGTAATGTTATTTCTGTCCCCTTTTAGACGGCCCTCATGCCGGCCCATGGGACCCGGATAGGGACGTCGGGATGGGACAATGACATGTCACGGTCCCTGGTGAGAGGAGGGGGGGGACACAACACAAGCACCAGGGAGCCGGTCGGCCGAGCGGACAGCACGCTGGACTTGTGATCCTGTGGTTCCGGGTTCGATCCCGGGCGCCGGCGAGAAACAATGGGCAGAGTTTCTTTCACCCTATGCCCCTGTTACCTAGCAGTAAAATAGGTACCTGGGTGTTAGTCAGCTATCACGGGCTGCTTCCTGGGGGTGGAGGCCTGGTCGAGGACCGGGCCGCGGGGACACTAAAGCCCCGAAATCATCTCAAGATAACCTCAAGATAACCATGTGTGCCACACACACACTTACCACAACACACAGGAACACAAGCATCACAATAGGTCGTAAAATATACGATGTTTACACGCGTGGCTTCAACATGGTAAACAAATCATGGCCTTGTAGTCCATGACTCGGACCAGATCTCACGGTCTGGTGCTCGGAGCAGATCTCATGGACTGGTGCTCGGACCAGATCTCATGGACTGGTGCTCGGACCAGATCTCATGGACTGGTGCTCGGACCAGATCTCACGGTCTGGTGCTCGGAGCAGATCTCACGGACTGGTGCTCGGAGTAGATCTCATGGACTGGTGCTCGGACCAGATCTCATGGACTGGTGCTCGGAGTAGATCTCATGGA